GAGAGGGAAAGTCATTTGCCCAAAGCCACACAGCTCAGCAGCTTAGCCAGGATGGAATCGAAGGAGTCACACTCCAAAGTGTGAACTCAGTGCTCACCAGAGCTTGTACGTAATCTTGCTAGTCCGGGGCTGCTCCAAGGCACAGTCTGGCTCCCCAGCCAGCTCTCAGTACCGAGTGCCCAGCCCAGGAAACATTAGACATTCATTCCACGAACAAAGACACAGCCACTGCTTGTCATGCAATGGACTTTGGGGTAGCATGATGAGTTCCAGCTCAAGGGGCTCAGATTCTAGGGTAACTGCGGACAATCAGATGCCTTGAGTGACGGGAAAACAGCTCTAGGACCTATGAGAAGGGCAACAGGTTCCGGAACGGAGTGAGCCAATGCCCAGAGTCTCCTCCCCACCCTGTCTGCCCTGCCTGGCCCCAGCAGGGAAAGTCCAGTGTCCTCGCCAGGAAAGCAAGACACCTTCCAGCAACAGCTGTGGCCCCAACTTTGCCACAGACTGAATTCTGACCCCATCCCACACTGAGCCGCCCTGGCCACTGCTCTCGCTTGGCCATGCCCCATCCACCAGTGGCATTTGATATAGACACAATGACACCCCACACTGCCACTGTGAGCCCCATGTTGCCTGACCCACATGGGAAGGGAATGGGATACTGAGGTGGAAAAATCTCAGTCATCCTCCTTCTGGCTCCACTGAGGGCCCCCAAAGTGAACATGGAGTTGGAGCCAAGGTCAGCAGCCAGTTGGGTTTGAAAGTATGTGGCTTTGCAAGGATCAGGTCGGATGGGGTGCTGGACTTCACAGCAGGCATGTAGAGCTCAAAATTCCTCAAAGGAGAGTCTCCCCTGCCCTCTTGGCTCAGGGATGGGGCAGAGCCAGTAGGAGGGGCACCAGCAGGGAGAGCTCTGGGTCCGCAGCCCTTTTGAGGAGCCTCAGCGCTTAGTTCCTGCACAAACTGTTATCCATTAACATCCAATTATCCCTCGGTCCGAGCCATTAATTATAAATCAGCTGCTAATTGGGGTAATTAGCCCCCCGCAGGCTAATGGGGCGCGACTGAGGGAGGCCCCTCTGCCTACAGTCCTATGGTTTTCCGAGGTCCTTAATGCTGGGGGGGGGGCCCTGCAGGGGTGCAGAGAAATTAGGTGGCTGGAGTTAATTTTTTTAAAGGTTACAAAATGAGGCCAGGGGAGGGAGAGAAAATGGGAAAGGCTAGTTTTGGGTTTTTTCTCTGGTCCAGCATCTGCTCTTGAGGGTAGGCTGATGGCAGGGGAAGCAGAGGGGCCTGACCGCAGACCCTGTAGAGCTGTCGGGGTAATCGCTCCATCCTCTGCTTCCTTTCCGGCATAGTTGAGCTAAAGCGTAGACCAAGACCAAGGAGACTTGGATGGAGCTGAGATGCAGCAGGAACAGGGTTGGCCATAATATTCCTGGCTTCTGAAGGGCACAGAGGAGGCAGCTCTGCCCACTGGGTTGGCCCCAGCCTGGAGTCCTTTGGGGATGAGCCCGGCTGCTTTGGGCTGGTGCAGATCGGGGCTGGGCCAGGAAACAGGGACTGCAGAGTCCCCCATGGAGCAGAGCTGCTCCAGGCCCAAGTTAGAGCCTCCAAACAGCTGGAGGAACTGAAGGGAAGGTCTGTCTCCTGGGCACAGAGAGCGAAGTTCCGCACTGTGCGTGACAAAGTACGTACAGAGAGATAGCGAGAGGCAAACAAACCCTGGTGGATAGAGCTGTGAAGGCTGGAAGACCCAGCCTTCAAGACCCAGCGCTGCAAGACCCAGTGGGCTCCAGTGACCTTGGGGCACATTGAAACAGTGCCCGCTGCAGTAGCAGACTGGCCAGAAGGAGTGACCCATCCGGGAAATGCGCTCCAGCCTGCCGATCTCAGTTCTAGGGGACTCTTCACTTTGCCAGAGAAAGCCTGGCTAAAATCCGAACAGCTGGGGCCATCAGAGAGGGGATCTGTATGCAAGCTGAAATCTCTGCCGGTCAGGCAGCACCGGAGCCCAGTCAAATAAGTTGTCATAAGAACAGATAGGTGACTAAATGGAAAGAGCAGCCCCCGATGTCGGAGGAACTTTCCAGAGAGCACTGCTCCGTGCCCTTCCTACAGAAGGGGCAACTGAGACTCGCTCAAGGTCAGAGAGATGAGGGGCACTCAGTGCAGGAAGGATGCACAGACCAGAACACTCGCCCATCCGAGGCTCACCACCCCACAGTGGTGAGCCCCTCCCTATCCCAACCCGTTCGGTAATGGGCTTTGGTGAGCGTTGGCGGCGGCGCCTGAGGCCTTGATTAGATATTTATTGCTGTCATTTACATGGGCACGGCAGGGCGGCTGAGCAGGACAGAGAGGGAGGGGCGGGGTAGGGGGTGGAAAGGGAACCTGAAGTTGAGGTGGAAATGAGCTCCACAAGGACCCAGACCCAGCAGGGGGACAGGGAGCACCGAGGCCAGGAGAAAGTGTAGACGCGCCCACCGTGGGCTGCGTGGGACTCTGCACAAGACAGGGCTGGCTGCGGCACCTCTGAGTGCTGCCCTAGGGGGCGTCTGCGCGTGCTGAACGTGAGTGTCCTTGTGAGTTTAACCTCTGAATACGTAACTGTGTCTTTCAGAGGGGTTTTGTGTGTGTTCAGCAGATCTGCCTGTGCCTCTCTACCTATGTGACTTCTCACCTGAGAGTGTCTAAGTGTGCTACCCATGGCCCGAGTGACTGTACCCCAGGAGTCAGCCTGTGCGTGGCCATCAGCCTACATATGCCCATGTGTGACCGTCAATATGGACGACTGGCAAATAAGTGTGTGTACACAGAATTAGTTCAGAGATGAGGGCTGTGCCCCTGGGCCTGGTTCTCCTCCTTGCCCCTAAAACCTACAGGTGAAGTCCAGGTGCTCCCATCGTCAAACCCCAATGGTTGCTCCCCAGACCCCTGGCATCCAGGAAGCGGGCGCAGAGGTCCACAGCAGCAGATCCCCCGATTCCAGGTGCCCCAGACGCTCAGTGGGGTGGAAAATTTATTTCCTGCTCAAGATCAACAGTGTGTGAGCAAATGAGCACCGCTGGGTGTCCAGTGCCCAGGGTTTGTTTCAGAGCAGAGAAATGCTCCACTTTCGCCACCACACAAAAGTGACAGGGAGGGGGTGCAGGGGTCCCCCAGACACTCACCTAATGCCCATGAAGCTGACCCGTGAGCCCGCTGTCTGTCAGAGCCCATTGGGAGGCCCAGGGTGCACGCCTTGGCTGGGCCTTCGCCTGGGGCGGGTTCGAGCCTCTGCACCTTTGCCCTTCCCTGCCGCACTTCTGACTCCGGGTCTGTGCGGCGCGGCCAGGTTCCTGCTCTGTACAGCAGTCCCGCCCCTAAGGTCTGCAGGGATGGGGGAAGGTGTTTACCCCCCTCCTTAGTAGCAAGGTCCCACTTCTTGTCCCAAGACCGCGTCTACCCCAGCCACAGAGGAGAGAGATTTGAGCCAATTATCCAGATAATTTGCTCTCACTAGGCAGCAAATTCGATTTTTTTCTATGTCTACACACTTGCATAAACACAGCTGGTTTTCAGAGACGGGAGGTAGGGACTAAATTAACCAGTCTTTAGGCCAGAGTGCCTTTCCCTTTCTGGGGGAACCCTGGATGCCGGGAAGTGCAACGCGAATCCCGGGAAAAACGAAAACAACCCTCACTTTATCCCACCTAAAACTGATAGACCACTGGACTTCCTACATCGACGCCAGGCAGAGCCGACCCGCCTGCAGCGCACAGGATCCCGATCGCAGCGAAGGAAACGGACACGGGGCGCCCGCCGTGGGGACTGAGAACTAGGAACTTGCACATCTCCGCGGCTGCGGCGCAGACAACCTCCGCGGCCAACAGCCTCCTTCCCCGAAGGCCCGTCGAGTCAGTAGAGCCCTCCTCTCTTCTCAGCGTCCCGAAACCGGAGCTGCTCCCAGAAAACCAGCACCGGCCTGGCCCGGTCCCGGCCTCAGAGGACTTTTGTAAAACGAAAAAGACCTTCCCAGGCCCCAGGCAGAGCGGCGCGGAGGTTGCGCTCGAGGGCCCGTTGGTTCTCGGCTTTGGGGAATTCCAAACTCCGAAAGAGGACGAAAAGGCCGCGGATCTCAGCCTCCCCTTGCTCCCGAGTCCCGACTCCGTCCTCCGACGAGGCACAAGCCTGAAGTGCCCGCCACCCCCAACACCGAGCTTGACTGGAATCCGGGAAAAATTCGGGGGTCCCCCAGGTTGGGTGCGAATTTGGGGAAGAGAATGTCCTTCTCAAGCCCCCTGCATGCACTACCCGTGGGGCCGCGGCCCCTCTGCAAGTTGCAGGGACTTGTGACCCTAGAGAAAGTTGAGCCGATGGTGCCCGGGATCCCGCACAGCCCACCAGGGCCCGCAGCCTGTCGCAGTCCAACCGTGTGACACGGAGAGACCCAGGCAGTCCCACCAGCCCCCCGACCGCTGAGAGCCGAGAGCCGCTCCGGGAGCTGGCCCCGGCCTGCCATTCCCCGCCAGAGCCCGCCTGACCCAAGCCAGCTGAGGCCTCGGAGGCAAACGAATTCCAGGGGACTATGGCCGCTGCACCCCAAACACCCACCTGGAAGACCCTAGCCCAAGGCCGCGTCTACGAGGGCAGAGGTTGGCTGAGCGTCGAACCACCCCCGACCAGAAAATCCATGCAGAATCGCAACCCCGAGAGAGAAGGCGCACTTGGCGGCATCTGAGTTTGAACGGGATCCGCGCAGGCGAGCGGGAGCCGGATCTGGGCAATGCCCGGGGCACCGCGCAGTTCGCTTGGACCGGGAGGCAGAGGAGGCGTGGGCGGCCCTGGGCTCCCGGGCGAGGACCTGGGCGGCGGGCGCGGCCCCTGCCCAGCCTTCACCCCCGGGCTCCGCGCCGCCCCGCGCCGCATCTGCTCCGCATTACCCGGGCCACCTCCCTCCTCCCCGCCGCCCCCTTCCCAACCGAGAAGGATTTGTCTCCGCTTAATATCCAAACCTTTTTTGTATTTATTTTTTTTCAGGGGCGAAGTAATATCTTCCAAATGAGGCAAAACCGTGACGGATCCGAAGCGTTCTCTGCGGGTGCCTGCGTCTCCGCGGGCCGAAGCTTCCGCCTCCGCCTCGGCGCGTCTCTGCCCGCGGTCGCTTTCCTCTGTCTCTCCGCCTCGGAATTCGGAGTTGTGCAGTCTTTCTGCCTCCCCGGGCGGCTAGCTCTCACTTGCTCTTCAGCCCCGGGTATCGCTCCCTGTCTCTCCCTCTTCCTGCTTCCCCGCCGCTTCCTCTGTCCCTGTGCTGTCTCCAAGTCCTTGGCCCTCTGCAAACTTTCCGATCCTCCCAGCGGGTCCCGACTGCCGGACGGCAAGAGGGGGGCTGCCCCGATCTCTCGGCCGCGTCCTCCCGCCCCGACGGTCCGGCGCCCTCCCGGCTCGGCCTCGCCAGCCCCGCCCGCTCGCACCTGGTCTCCCCGGCCAGCGCAGCCGCCGCCGCTGCCATCTACGCTCGCCGCGGCCGGGGCTGGAGTTTTAAACGACGTTTCCCGGGCGCCCGGCGCGGGCCCGCGCGCTTCCCAGTGGCCCCGGTGGCTGCCAATCACGCTCCACTCCCGCCCCCGCCCCGCCCGCGGGTGCGGCAGCACAGCTCTCGGCCCAGGCGGGGGTCCCACAGTCCGTGGGTCCGCGGGCCCGGCCCGCGTCCGTCGGTCCCTCGGTCTCTGGCTCCCGGTGTAGGGATCTCTGCCTCTTTGGGGTCCGCAGAAGCCACAGGCCAATCCCTGGGTCGATCAGAGGTCCTGAGAAACCTCCCCCTCTCTGGTCCCTCCCCAGGGACTTAGCACCTGAGGGCCGTACAAGTGTCAAGGGGACGCTCCGACTGGCTCCCACCACCACTGTCCCTTCAAGGTTGGTCCTGAGCTGCGCTCATACACGCGCTCTCCCTATCAGTTTCACACCACCAGCAACACTGTCACCACCCCCCCTCGCGCCACCACGTCGCCCCACGACCCGCACTCAGAACTCACCAACCTCACTCAGCCGGTACGTCGGTTGGCGCTCCTAGCAGCTCCGGCAGCTGCTCACCTGTCTGGCGGCAGGATGCCGCCCAGAGAGGCCGGGAGGCCACCAGCGTGGAACTCACAGCTTCACACAGCACAGGCACCTGTCGCGGGAATGGGGGACAAACACAGTCGGTCACTAGTCCACATTGGGAAGATCCTGGGCCTGGAGCTCCCCAGTTCCTGCCAGCGCCCTACTCCCTCCCGGCGGGAACCTGCTCACAAGAAGAGGACATTCTGGAGTCTGCTCCAGGACCAGGCGGATGCTTGGCCTCCGGAAAGGTTTCTGTCTGAGGTGGGTGCCAGGGGCACAGGTTAACGCCCACACTGCCTGCGGGTGCGGGGGTGGCAAGTTACTGTACAGAGGCTCTGTGGGGCTCTGTGTGTGGCTTGTGGAGGTGGCTGGCCAGTTGGTGTTGGCCAAGTGTGTGGGGGGTGGGGAAAAGTGTCTCTGTGTGGCCGGGACTCTGTGCAACCTGCCTGTGGACTCAGTGGCTGCTACTGTGATTCACATGTGGAGTGTGTCCTTGTGACTGGTGTTCCTGTGACCATAAGTCCATGTGTAACTGTGGAGTTTCAAATGGCTGCGAGTCCTTTGTGTGTGTGTGTATGTGTGTAATGAATCCTTGTGCAATTTTCAGCTCAAATGTAGTTGTGAATCCAGGTGGCTGGGTGCAGCGTGGGCACTAAGTCTTTCACTTGGGACCAGGGCAGCTGGACCCTGGTTCTGGCACCCCCTCTGGTCCATAATTGAAGCTCTCAGGTCTAGCTCCTGGAAGCTGGGCTGTTCGCTCAGGAGCTACGGCATGAGGAGGAGACAGTGCTGGCTGCCAGTAGATTTTAGAGTCCCAACCTGAGTTGAGGGGGTCAGGAATTTGGCCCCAGGTCAGGCAGAAGGGGCCATAGGCAGATTTGAAGGTCGGGGTCCATCTTCAGCCAGAGTTAGGGGCTGGGCGCCTCAGTGGGGGGCAGGAGGAGCAATGGGCCTCCAAAAGGAGAGGAGGAGAGGGGAGGGGGTGTGGGGAGGAGAGGGGAGGGGAGGGGGCGGTAAGAGGATTAGACCGCTCAGACCCTTCTCTCCCACCAGGATCCCCCACCCCCACCCCAAAGCTCCAGAAAAGATTTCTTCTGCCAAAGCAAAACCGTTTAGGCTCGATTTAAAGGGACAAGAAAGGCGGAGGCGGGGGCTTTAAATAACCTTTTAATTTCTCTTCAGGGATTCTGGCCCTGTGCGGGAGGGAGTAGAGAGGAGGGGAGGGAAGGGGAATGCAGGCGGCCTCTTTGGCTTAGATAATCGGGACTGGCGCTAGAGCTCCACACAAACTGGGGAGACGGTGGGAAGCACACTGCGCCCCCACCCGGCTGCCCTCCACACACAAACATGCACACTGATCATCCTGGAGAAAACTGCAACCCCTGCACACACATCAGTCATTCAGTCACACAGACATGGGCACATGGGACATGGAGGGGTCATGTATAGAGACACACAAATGAGGGGACACAAAATCCCTCTCATGGTAGCACAATGTGGAGTCCCTCCCCACTCCTAGCCACCCTACTCGGTGAGGCCAGGAAGGTTTGCTGAGGCAGGCCTTGCCCCTCCTCTGCCCAGGAGGAATTCTAGCCCCAACAGGAAAGAAAAGAGCATCCTCTTTGCCCAGGGACCCAGCTCCAACCCATTCTTCCCTAGTTCCCCCCATAGCACAGAGCCTGCTGGGTAGGCTGGAGGGATCGTGACCCCAACCCAGCCTGGGCCTAAGTGTACCAGACCTGCCCAGGCTGGGCAGGGGAGGGTGCTTGAGGATGGCCCAAGTTTTGCTGGTTGGCTGAGGACTACTGGGGGCTCCAGGTGGTGGGACACAAGGCCCAACCAGGCATGCGCTCTTGGAAGGAACTTGTCTGCTGGACGCTGAGTCCAGCTCACTTGCTGCCTATCCTAAGCCTCCAAGGCCCCCACCTGTGCCAGCTGTCCCAGTGGAGGTCTGAGGTGGTGGCTGGATGGCCTCATGATACACACTAGGCCTCTACAGACTCGAGTTCTCCAGACCTGGAGAAACCCACGCTACCAGGCTGGCCCCACCTTCACAGGGATACAAAGGCCTCCATACCGAGGGACACTGTGAGCAGAGAGCTGCTGTCACTCAGTCACATTCCCACCCCCACGCACTTCCACAGACATCGCAGCCCGAGGGCTGGGCTCCCTGTTGGTAGTGGATTCAGTGTGGGGGAAGACACAAAATCCGTGGCAAGCTCACTTGCAGGGATGGGCAGTCCAGGAGGAAACAGGGTAGGATAGGGAAGGGGAACACATTCTTAGGGAGGTCTGGCGCAGTGGGAAGCTTGTCATGCCACAACGTGGGTGGGTTTTACTGATTTAACAAAACCATTTGAAAAGTGCCACCGTCTAGACAGGAGTTAAGAAGAAGTGGAAATCGTTCAGGGCCTCCCTCCCAAGACTGTGCTGGGGGTTCTTCCTCCCATCTGCCTGCCCAAGGCTGTGGCTGACACCTTCGAAGGGCTTAAGAAAAAGGCATCCCTAGAGGAACTGCCCCCCCCCATAGACTTTCCTGGGCTCCTGGGGCTGGGAACATAGGCAGTGGTTCATTTCTGGATGTGTGTATATGTTTATTCAAGTTCATTATCCTGTATTGTATGTATGTGCATATATATACATACATACTCCTATATTTGTAAATATGTGTGCATGTTTAAATATGTACGTGAGTATAGGCTGTGCTTATGTGGATTACCTAGCATTTATAAATTCCTAGGGTGGGGGTGTGTGTGTGTGTGTGTGTGTGTGTGTGTGTGTGTGTTAGAGGATATATATCCGAATTGGACAAAGGGGGGAATGGGCAAGGGATAGGTTAACTTATGAACTTGGGAAAACCAGGTGCTCACAAATTTCCAGCTGGCCTGGAAACTCAAAGGACACTGGGTCCCAACTGTCTGCGCTGAAAGATCTGGCCAGGCCCTAGCCCTGCCATCTCTGGTCTCTGGGCTCCGTTTACCGAGGCAATGCCCAACCCAAGCCCCCTACCTTCCCCCCAACACACACTCTTAAGGGAGGGTTCCTTCGGAGCCTCCCCAGCTGCTCACAGCGTGGGGCTGAGGGAAGGGGTGGAGAATGCCGGGATGAGGCCGCCCTCAGGCCACACCGCACCCCCGCCCCAAGCTCCGTAGGCAGGGCAAATCCTGGAAGAGCCAGAACACCAAGCTGCTGAGACCGCGTCCCCCTACCCGCCCCCAGAAGCCTCAGTCTCCTCTGTGGCCAGAGGAGCCAGAGTCCAAGTTCAGGGTGGGGGGCGCGGGTCTCACTCCCCATCCTGGCCTGCTCCCACCCCCACGGCTGGCGCTCCCCGGGGCAGTGGCTGGGTGGTGGGCGGCTTAGAGCTAATTCGGGAGTTAATGGCAGCGGCAGGGCCCCCCGCGGCCCCCTCCACCTCCCACCCCTACCCCGGGGCCGGGCCGCGGGCCGCCCGCATCTGCGCCGTCCGCGGCGATTCATCATCTTGATCCATGGCGCGCGCTGACGGCGGCCCCGGCCGCGCTGACAAGACTAACAAAGCAATTTGCCACGAGCCATCTCCTGGACAGGTTATTAGCGCGGCCGCCGCTTAAAGAGCCCGCCCCACCCCCAGCCCCAGTCCCAGCGCGGGGCAGCTACCTGCTCGGTCCCTTCCCTCCGACGGGCTACTGCCCCTCTACACTTAAAGATACCCCTGCGCTCCCGGCCCTCTCCGACCACCCGAAAGTATCCCCACCTACACACCCCGAGCGGTCCACCCTTAGCTGCCTGGGCGGTCCTCCCTTCCCTAGCTCCAGCTGCTACCTACTCCACTCCTTTTTCGGTCCCCTACTCTTCCCCAAATCCTCGCTTCCGACTGACTCCTAGCCTTTCCCCAGTACTACCTGACTTGCCCCTCACCTCCAGAACTTCCTCACACCCAGTGGGTCTCCCCACTTCTGCCCTCTTGCCTCCCAGCTCCTTTCCCTTCTGCCCAGCAGGAATTGGAAAACCCTATTTACTCCCAGCTTTGGATGGGGGTGGGTTCCTGTGGTGCCTTTGAGCACACTGCATTTCTTCTGACCACTTTGCCCCCAGGTAACCTTACTATTAGGGGCGGGGTGGCCTATAACCCCATTTGCCCCGTGCCATCTGGGAGGCTGCAGAGCAGAGGCTAAGTGTAATCTGGGCAGACTGCCTGCAGGAAGAGGCTGGCCTGGGCTCCATCTCTGCCTGCACCTGCCGGGAAGCAAAGGAGGCCAAGAAACAGGGAGCACCCACTAAGCAACTCCCCTTCGGCCTGCGGTGAGGAGTGGGCGGAGGTGATGTGTAAGTGGGTGTGTGTTTGGTGAGACCTGTATTCTAATATGAGGCTGGTTCTAATATGATCCTGATCCCTAAAGGCAGAGTGGCTATTTGGTCATTTCAGACAAAAGCCATTTTTGGAAGGAATCCTCTGGGTAGAGTGGATGCAGCCTAGTTCCTTAGCTGCACGGCAGGTCTGTGTGAAGGGACTGAATGTGCGCTAGGTAAGCTCCTGAGTGTGTGTGAGTGCATGTTTAAAGCCAAGCATCATACATGCGTGCGTCCATGCACATGTGGCTGGGGGTGGTGGTGTCAAGCGTGTCCCTTTGTGTGCACAAGGAGGCCAGGGAGAGGCCCAAGTACAACACACGTATGAACATGTCTGTGCTCACCTAGAGTAACTGGCCTTCAAACCAGGAAGGAGCCCCCACCCCCTTGTTCACTCTTCTCTTAAATCCAGCGTCTGCATTCCTAAACTGTCAGCCTCTGAAGCAGGGTGTTGGGGCAGGACATGCCCCTGCTCTGAGAGCTGAGGGAGCTCCTTCTGAGGGGTCTGGACACAGGAGGGGTGTTCTACCTGCAGGGCAGTTGGTCTGAAGCCTCCACCACAACCCAGGTTGTGTCCACGGTGAGGACAGGGGGACAGACCATGTGCCAGGAACCTGGCTTTTTTCTTTTCTTCCTGCCAGCCAGGCCAAGTCTTCACCGCGGGGAAGGCCAGCTCTGTTGCTGCCTGCGCCACCACCAGGTCCCTGACGTGAAATATGGGGGGCGCAGGCCGCGCTGGGGAGATTTGTCATCTGTGCTCAGCGGGTGACTCTATCTGCAGACTATTAGAGTATAAAATATATTTTACAAGAGTTTTAGCTACAGGTGACTTGCTCTTTATTACTAGATGTGGGCAAAATCAATACTTCTGTAACTAAAAGATCATTTATTTTGCTTTTTGAAACATTTTTCAACAGGGGCACTGGCTAAGC